GCGACCCCCAGGGGGAGAGCCTTCTCTGTGGGAGCACCCACCCTCTGGAACGAGCTGCCCCCAGAGATCCGGGTGATTCCGGATCTCCCCTCCTTTCGCCGCGCCCTTAAGACCTGGTTATTTCAGCGGGCAGGACTGGCCTAGGGGTATTTTAAATTGGTTTTAACAAAATTTTTAGTATAAGCGGCCTATTGAATATTTATTTTTAATTACTTTTAAATTTTGTAATATATTGTATTATTGTTTTTAAGCTGGCTGTAAGCCGCCCTGAGTCCTCCGGGAGAAGGGCGGGGTATAAATTTAATAAAACTAAAACTAAAACTAAACTAAACAAAACATACCATATATTGTCAAGTGCACAGACATTAATGAATTGGAGCATGGAAATCATCTGGAGAACATTTGCGTAAGGATAAAAGGGGAGAGGGAGTTTATTATAAATTGCCTGGACAGGCAGAAGATATGGATGAAGACTGTGCCAGATGATCAAGTTTTCAAATATGCAGTATTCCATTGCAGTATTCCATTTTTACTGACATCTGGAAATCTACTCTGCCACAAGGCAGTGATCCCAAAAATTTGCAGAAGGTAGTAAAAGGAATAAGGGGGTCTGCTATCTTGGATGAAATCCTGACCAACAGAAGAATTGGTTGAAGAAATAAAGATGACAAAAATGACCATGTTCATAATATCAAGGGGAAGAACAGAGGGGAGTCAGATTTGTATACTGGAGTCAGATTTGTATATTTGATGAACTTAGAAAGTAGGTAAAATCTAGTGGCTTGAAATCCTGAAGAGGAAGTGTCCAGAAAGGATGTGTCACTAAAAGTGTAAATACAAACAATTCCTACTAGAAAGGAAAACAGGAAAAATCTAAAGACAAATATGGATACAATAAGAGGCTTCTAAAACATTGTAAAGAAAAAGACACATCTAGAAAAAAGAAGGAGGGTCATATAAACAAAGGACACGAGGTAGTTGCCAGAAACCATAGAAATTTGGTCAAAAAGACTAGATAAGAAATTGGGATGAGCCTTGGGAGAAATTGGTGCTAGCTTTTGATCTCCAAGATAGCAACTCAGGAGGCTGAGCATTGCACAAGTGCTGACAGTCTTTGTAAATAGGCATCATTTTAAATATGAAGGATGATGATCGTACGTTAAATAATGTTTTAACTCAGATGTATTTTATAATTTCCAGAACAGGACTATGCTTTTGAGTTTTATCCTTGCTGCTGATAATTTGACTTTATTTAATTTTGCAGCCTTGAAAAATTTCCTTTTTAGTTGTATTGGCCATAACTTACTGAGGCAAGCTGAATGTTATGTTAAAGTGGTGACAAGGACAGTTCCTTTAAAGCAGTGGTGGCAAACCTATGGCACGGGTGCCAGAGGTGGCACTCAGAGCCCTCTCTGTGGGCACACGTGCTATCGCCCCAGTCCTAGGCCTTCAGCTGGGTTTTATAAAACCTTTTCGCTTTAGGCCTCCGCCGCCATGTGCAAAAAAAAAAAAAAGTTCAATCAGTCAATTTCAACCTCTTGGGGAAAAAAAGAGCTTGCAAAGTTGGAATTGATTGATTGAACTTATTAGTCCCACCCAGTCTGCTGTTACCACTGCAGCCACGCCCACCCACTGGGCCACGCCCACCCACTGGGCCACGCCCACCTAGCACCCGATGATACATAAGTGGGTTTTGGGTTGCAATTTGGGCACTCGGTCTCTAAAAGGTTCGCCATCACTGCTCTAAAGAAAAAACAAAGAAAATCTAAGAGAGTGAAAATGCCCCATTATGTAAGGAATAAATTGACTAGTTATATCAGGAAATGACTTAGAGCATGTACACTTTGTAACTAACATCTTTATAAAAAGGACAAGTCAAACTAGGAGATGTTCTCTTCCAAAAACATGTTCGTATTATAATTGTACACTTTTGAATGATTCAATACAATTTTTTTTTTCAAAGTTCATTATCAGTTTAAGAAATTGGGATACAATCTAGTCCAAATATTAGACCCAACTGAAAACAAATTCACAGCTGAGTTCCTAAATTCAATCAGTGTATGTATTTGGAACCATTCACACTTAAATTTTTCAGGTTTGTATTTTTTATAGGCAAATTTAATTCAATTTTCAAATTTAGTCAAACCAAAATAAATTATTGTATATAATTCAATAATATTTTCTTCCTTAGTATTCTATTCAGATGTATCCTGAGAAAATCTATGTGGTTATTGAAAGTCGACACATGGTTACACAAAATCTATTCAGCAACCATAATCAAGATTTCCATATATCACCAGTCACAAATGAAATTCTAGCAATGGCAATTATGGGCTAAATTAATAAACTGATTTTTAAAAATCTACCAAAAAGAATGGAGGAGAGAGGAAGAAAGACAAGTTTGTTTTAATAAATTGTGATAGGTAAAGCAAATGTATCTGAAAGGTATAAGAATGCAGAATACACAGAAGCTAATTAGTCACCATTTGATCACAAATATATAGGGAGCATGATTGCGTTCAAGAATAATGGATATATAAAATGTTTTACAGATGGCACTTAATACCTATGAGGTTAGCAAAAATATTCAAAAATATATCTAGCAATTGTTGGAAATGTAGACAAAAACCAGGCACATACTATCATCTTTGGTGGACATGCCCTAAAGCCAAAAGATTTTGGTCAAGAATACATATATGGTTAGAGAAAATGATAAAAAAAACATGTAGATTTTAAGCCAGAATTATTTTTGTTAGGTATAATTGTAGGAAATTATGAGAAAGAATGTGTATATTTAATGTTACATGTACTAACTGCAGCGAGAATTGTAATTGCTCAACATTGGAAAGATGAATTACCAGTGGAGGAAGAGATAATTAAGAAAATTTTGGACTTTGCAGAAATGGACAGACTTACATTGAA